TCTCCTGCTTGTCTAAGCCTGCAGGAGGCATGTGGCATGTTCTGTCTGCTATCAGGGGAACCACAGGCATGCGGCATGTTCTCTCTGCTATCAGGGATACCACAGGCATGAGGCATGTTCTCTCTGCTATCAGGTGAACCACAGGCATGCGGCATGTTGTCTCTGCTATCAGGGGTACCACAGGCATGCGGCATGTTCTCTCTGCTTTGAGGGATACCACAGGCAAATAACGGCTTTTTACCCCAATACATTCTGCACAATCATCATTACCCCAATTAAAAAATAATACTGTAGCCTGCAGCACACCTGGATTGCTGTGCGATTCTGGGTAAAATATCAATTACAATTTTCACACTTATATCTCCCAGTTCTTGAGCAATATTCTCAATTTCTTTTCTCAGATTCTTTATTCTTATTATTTTTCACTACATATTGCCTTTATGAAGATGGAACAAACAATATGTAGAGATGCACAGTACTTTGGTTGTCATACCGAATTTGCCATCTGATATATAAACTTTATCAATATTCAAATTAGCAGCACTGGAGCTACTGCTAAAACAAAGGTGATGATTGCATTGGATGATAAGCCGTTTTCCACAGCGGAGGATGAGGGTTTCAGTCCACTCATTCACCACTTATAAGAGGTCCAGGTTTAATTCATTATTAAATCTGGAAAGTTTTCCTCCTCTCATCACCAACTCCTTTTCAAATAAATCCATTGTCTTGCCACACTCCTCCCATGTCACATCCCTCTCTATTCTCTTTTGGTCTTTCCCCCTCTCTTTCTCATGCTCCCTCTCTTCTTTACCTGCCCCCGGGCCAGGCTCTCCTGCGGCTGAATGTGAAGAAGCTGCAGAGGATGGACATCCAGCAGGAGGTGCTCTAGCAGGTGCTGCATCTGCTGGTGCAGGAGGAGGTGCGCAGCCTAAAGCTCCTCAGCCAAGGAGAGGAGGGAGGGCAGCCTGATCCCTACAGCATGACCTTTGGTCCAAACACCTTAATGCTAATCAAAATCATATGACCTTCCCTGTGCTTTGCTCCCTTTTATTAAGGTCAAATGGAACAGTCCCAGGGCATTCAGCATTATCTGTCCAAGCGAGGAATCAACACCACATCATTAAATCAATACTCATGCAGACCAAGCCTGCCAGTATTGGGGATCTTTATTATATAAAGCTCATGTATATATATATATGATATATATATACATACAAACACACACACACACACACACGCTGAGTTCATGTGCTTAGCTGACATAGCTACTTAACCCTACTGATTAGCTAATATAGAACTGAGTTGAGTTCACAGGGTCATCTAGGTATTTATATTGTCAGAAGGTACAGTGGTACCTCGGTTCTCGAACTCACTAGAACTCAAATTTCTTGAAAATCGAACAAACCAGTTTGACCTAGAACTTGATCTGAATATCAGAAGTCGAACCGTGAACGCTGACCTAATATAAATTGTATGCGCCAGGAAATGAGTCATACTACAATGCAATTCTTACTTGAATGCCTTCTTCACAGATTGGATGATTAAACAAATAAAGCAGTGCAACATTACAGTAACTAACATAAATAAACCACTAACTTACGTGTACTATTAGAGGATTTATGTCATTTATTTAAACTTTATTTTAACAGGTAAATTAACTGAAAACCAGTTCTCACTGCTTTACGTGATATTCGGGAGAAATAGCAGATTACGCATCGGAACTGCCTGGGATACAAACGTCATGCGTGTAACTAAACTCTTCAGCCAATAAGGGTAAATGCTAAAAAAAACATATTTTGGTGTAATTTTGGGGGGCCGGGAACCAATTAATTGGTTTTCCAGTATTTCTTATGGGAAAAATTCGATCAGAACTCGAACTTTTTAGGATTCGATCCGGAGTCCGGAACGGTTTAAGTTCGAGAACCGAGGTACCACTGTATAGCTTATACAGATAAGCAGTTCTTTATTGATAAATCTGAATAAGATGCCTATATTTGGTGGTTTTTATGTTTTATGTTACTCCAAATAAGATCAGTTTAATCAAGGATTTAATGAAAATTAACACTGATAGTTAGGGAAGGGAAAAGCATAAAAACATATATATACAGGCTGCAATTTCCCTTGTTAGTGCACTTTATTCAGGCATGACCTGTATCCTCTGTCCTCTCAAGCCTCTTTCAGATTCTTGTAGGAGAGCACTCTGAAGCTGCAGAACCATCTGTGATCACCAGGGGGCCCAATAACACCATGACACAGAGTGCCACATTTAATTTTTAAAGCCATTTACAGGATGGTCCAAAAATGACTGGTATGGCCTAAGACAATGCAGATAAAGCATTGCATTCCTAGTAACGTGAGTCAGAAGCTGGGGGAAATTTGCCACAATGGAATCCGCCATGGCTTTATTTAACATCTGTCATGGATCCCGCCATAGAGTCTTGGTTTGTGGTCCATACTGCAATCTTAATTTTCACAATGTGAACCTGCAGACCACCACTTTTCCCCCACACTTCCTAGGCTACTGGTTCTTCCCTGTTGAATGGGGCAGACCTACGGGACAGTCCACCCTGAGCGTACAGTCCATGCTGTATACTTCATCACCTGGCACATCCTGGCGTACGAGCTGGGCATTCTATTCTGATGAAATGCTCTGTATGATGCAATCTTTTCATAAAATAATCATACCCATTTACCTCTATGCTTTTTGAGAAATTAAAAGGAACATAGAAATCATATTGACTGCTAGCACTAACAGTACTTACATTTTCCAATCCTTCTTTGTGAGTAATTTAGTTTTCTTCCAATTATACTGTGGGAATGAAAAACTGGAAACTGGATTCCTGTAAATCCCCCCACATGCAAGGACCAGCCGTTTATTCCATTAAATGTTCTTCTACATTTGCTGCACATATTAAATTATTAATTGAAGTACAATTTTCTAAAACCAGAAATTACAGTCATGCTTTTAAAGGTATTTTTTTCTTTTTCCTCTGAAACCACAAATGTGAAGCCCTGGATAAAGGAAACAAGATCATTTTGTATCATAATGATTATATTTGGATGAATTGTGTGACAGTTTGGTCATGGATTCAACTGTTAGTTACTCAGTTCCAGAATTTCATCATTAGTGTATAAAAAACAGAGGATTGGCTAGTAACATGTATAGGGTCAGATATCATTGATTGGAGCCTCTTATTCACCAAAGGACAAAGTTCTCTTCTGTTGTCTGTGGATACACTAGTGTGCCTGTCATCAAATACAATCAATAACCACAAGTGCACACCACGAAAAGGGTTTTTAATAGAATGAAAAAGCTCTTTCTCGGGACACATTTTAAAAACAAATAGCATTAGAATATGTTTTAGAATAAATACAATAACAATTAACCTCTGTCATGTACTTTGTGATATTCAGTGATATCTGACTGCAACCATTTAGATGAATGTACAGCAAAAATTTATTGAGCAGATGCTTTTGTCAAAAGTGACATACTAATGAGGAATGGTTGGGGTCAGAGCGCAGGGTCAGTCAGCATCTGGCCTTCCTCAAGCACTTGAGGTGAAGGGTCTTGCTCAAGGGATCAGTGCTAATGTGTTTACTCTGCCAGCCACAGCATTAAAACTCAGAACCCTGCAAAGAAAAGCACAGACCTCCAGTGTACTGTGCTACATACTGCCCCAAAATGGCATTACATAGGATGCTATAGTTCAACAAATCTGTTACGGCCAACTCAAGTCTGTTGATGACTTTAAAATTTTAGAACAACTTGGCATTGCTGCTAATTAAAAGGTATTTTAACAAGAAAGACAGCAACCCTGGGCATGTGCTGTGGTGCAGTGCTAATGAGGCCTGAATACTACAGCTAGTTGACCATGGCTCTGCCAGCTTTTTATAATAAAATGTAATTTAACATAAACAGCCCGTGTACACATAGGTCGCAAGTGCGATTTTGCACTTAGAGCACTTCTAACTTTAAATACTCAACTGGATACCATGGAAAAATGGGCAAGGTCTTTAGTTTTAAAGTGCTTTAGGTGTATATGCTCATGTATGTGTGAAATAATCTCTTAATGCAGCTGGATAAACAACGGAATTACATTTATGTTTCATAGTAGGTATATGTTTGTTCAGCTACCTCGCTAGGACACCCAGTATATAACTCATTTATTTATTTTATCAAACTGCAGCCTGGTATTACTCTGTTTATCACTAATGAAGGGCTTCTTCCTTGCTTTAAGGATCTTCAGTCCTGCCTCTAGGAGCCTGATACGAACTGTCCTAGCAGCGCACTTCACACCTGCACTTAATGTTTCCTCCATCTCTGCCATTAGAAAGTCGCTTCACCCTCTACCCGGCTGGTTTTTGGTTGTTCCCAGTGTCTCTTGCTTCACCTTATTCTTGTGTACTGCTCTTAGAAATTTTGAAGCTGGAAGCAACCTGCTGCTCAGCGTAACCTTCTTCCAGCAGAACCACGATTAAATATGCAGATTTGCTTAAAAACAAAGTGGTCTCTTATTTTTTTCCAGAGCTCTATATGCATTAATATAGTTGGGAAAACAAATTAAGTTTTCTTAAGGACTATTTATGTCTTTATTATTCAAAAAAGTATACCAACCGTCTGTTCATTTTTAAATGTACAATCGTTCTGTACGATCATTTTAATTTTAATATAAATTCTTTAAATAGTTTTAAAATACACTTAAGCTTGAAGAAGCAGCTCATCGTACATGGTTACACACCAAAGTTAGAATACTGTAATTACGTATGAAGCTACTCATTTTTAAAAATTACTTTAATCGAAAAATCCCATTTGTCTGTTCATCTTGCTGCAGGTCTGACACATTTTTAAAATATATTAATCTGTGGGGAGGTCCAGCGTTGACATCCAGCCACAGGAACCCGTGCAAATACAGCCAGTCCGTTTTTTTTTTTTTGCGTTGATCCGAGCCGGTTCCTCTCTTATTTGGGAGAAATCGGACATTAATTTGCGGATTAAAAAAATAACGCGAGAGTTTGCAACTTGCTCCCAGTGTAGTTACAGTGTCAGAGGTAAGAAGGGGGACCGCGCATGACCCGGCGAGCGGCTCTGCGCGGCGCTCCGGAGCTCGGAGGCTCCGCTCCGAAATGGCCGAATACCCCGCAGGTAAGCTCGGCCGCCCTCCCCGGCCGCTCTCCTGGCTACGGCTCCTTTCACTCCGCCACGGCTGCCGAAAATCGTCGCCCCAAATATGTTTTCCTCGCTTTCCCTTTAGCTGGAGCGCAGGGATATTTTTACCCCTCCTTCATAATAATAAGTCGCCATTTTGCTCCATTGCCTTATAAAAAGGCTCTTGAATTTAATTCAATGTTTTAGATCCCGAGAGTGATCCCTCTTCTGTCTCAGCGGTTTCTCCTTCTTTTAAAAATATATTTTCGTGGTGTTGACAGTTTAGGCGGTTAAAGAAAGCTAGCCCTAGTTTCCGTGGTATTTAAAGCAGAGCCGCTGAAAAGGTGAAGGTGCTCAGGTAATGTCATTTAGTGACGCGCGCCTGCCGGTCTCGCGGCGCAGGGTGCGAGCGCGAAAAATCGATAACAATAATAAGAACGACAACAGCAAAAAAAAAATATAAAATCATAATCATGAAAGGATGACGATGTATTCTATAATAATGAAAGGAGCGTGATGAGCGCGGGGTCGCGTGCTTCCGTCCTCGCACAGCATGCCAGGTGTGACGAAGACCTGACAGCTCGAGGCACTCGGCCAAGCCCTGCTCGCCCACCCGGCTCCACGTGGGCGAACCCGCTCTGCGCGCCCACCCGCTCGCGCCTACTGCTCCGGCGTCCCAGGTAGGTGTGGCCTCCCTCCCGCAGCAAAGACACGCTTTCATAGCACTGGCATCTCTGAACCGTTACATGTAAAAGAAGGACCGCTACATGTCACCTACGAGGCTGCATATTTGCATGCACCATTTTAATGTGCCCATAGAGTGTGGTTCTGCATTAGTACCATCTGGGGATATCAGTTGCCATTGTGAAATGACTCACTTCATGAGTATATGTGTGTCTAAACAGACACACAAAATAAGGTCTTAGACCCCCAAAAGCTCGGTACCTCCTATTCTACAGTCTTGTAGCCAAAGGAAAGTCAAAACCAAGACACATAAAGCTTCTTCCCAGCTCCTAGTGTTCTTTATGGCATAAATGCTACACCAACAGCTGCCCTATGTCATGATTTAAAAATCTGAAAAAATGTAAAAATGAGACGCAGTGAAATGGCCTCCATCTTGGCAGGTACAGATGGGTTTCCTCTTTTTCCTATTTGACAGATTGGTCGTCGAGGACTGACAGGATCCACTGTAAGGTATGTGAGGTATGCCTTTGACACAGCTTGGTTTGACCCATCTGCTAGATCCAACGAGAATCATAAAGAACAAGACTGGATCAGAGCAGGGCTATGGGGCTAAGGCAGACAGCAACAAAATCCAGGACATTAAGCTGCACCATTAACCAGAGAATGAAAATCATGAGCAACACAAATTACAAGCTCAGAAATCCGCAACACTGAGGCTGAGAAGACAAACAGCACGAAACCCCAGCTTGAATCCAAGGGTAGACAGAGTGACATTACTGTTGGGCCCCTGAGCAAAGGCCCTTAACTTGCTATTGCTCCAGGGACTGTCTGACCCTGCTTTCTCAATTGTACGTCACTTTGGATGAAAGTGTCTACTAAATAAATACAAATATAAATGTAAGTGTTAATGTATTGCTAGATGAGCTGCAGGTGTGAATGATCAGGGAGTGAAGGTGTGTAGCATGGGCATGGCCTTGGAGGCCCCTGGCGTCTGCAGCGGGTGGTCTGTGAGGCTGCGTCTGTGTCCTCAGTGACGGGCATGCTGGGGGGCGGCCGGCCAGGGGGGCGCACCCGCATGAGCCCAGCGGCAGGTGACAGGAGGCCAGGGCTGGAGCACAGTAAGGAGGGTGAGTTTGCCTTCATGCCTTTGCATATTCTGCATATCCTGCCTCGGCACCATGTCCTTAAACCGAGTGCAGTGCATTTTACAGTGCCTTATGCGATGGACTGTACAGCATATGCATGCAATGTGACATACCAATATACTTCATTATTGTTGTTACAGTCTGTTACTAATCAGCATACTCTGTTACTGTTTTTACTGTCTTGCTGATAGCAGTATAATTTATTACTGTTTTTAAGGTCTGTTACTGATAGCAGTATGCTTTATTACTGGTTTTATTCTCTATTTTGGATATCTGTATATTTTAGTACTGTTTTTACTGTTTATTATTGATATCAGTAGATGTTAGGTGACCGGTCTGTGTGAGTGTCCCACAGCGAGGTGACCGGTCTGTGTGTGTGTCCCGCAGCGAGGACAGTGAAGTGACCGGTCTGTGTGTGTGTGTCCCACAGCGAGGTGACTGGTGTGTGTGAGTGTCCTGCAGCGAGGACAGTGAGGTGACTGGTCTTCGTGAGTGTCCCACAGTGAGGTGACCGGTCTGTGTGAGTGTCCCACAGCGAGGACAGTGAGGTGACCGGTCTTCGTGAGTGTCCCACAGCGAGGTGACCGGTCTGTGTGAGTGTCCCACAGTGAGGTGACCGGTCTGTGTGAGTGTCCCACAGTGAGGTGACCGGTCTGTGTGAGTGTCCCACAGTGAGGTGACCGGTCTGTGTGAGTGTCCTGCAGCGAAGACAGTGTGGTGACCGGTCTGTGTGAGTGTCCCGCAGCGAGGTGACCGGTCTGTGTGAGTGTCCCACAGTGAGGTGACCGGTCTGTGTGAGTGTCCCGCAGCGAGGTGACCGGTCTGTGTGAGTGTCCCGCAGCGAGGTGACCGGTCTTTGTGAGTGTCCTGCAGTGAGGACAGTGAGGTGACTGGATTTGTGAGTATCCCACAATGATGATGGCGAGGTGACCGGTCTGTTTGAGTGTCCCGCAGTGATGAAGGCAAGGTGACTAGTCTATGTGAGTGTCCTGCAGCGAGGTGATCGGTCTGTGTGAGTGTCCTGCAGCGAGGTGACCGGTCTGTGTCAGTGTCCCGCAGCGAGGTGATCGGTCTGTGTCAGTGTCCCGCAGCGAGGTGATCGGTCTGTGTGAGTGTCCTGTAGTGATTATGGCAAGGTGACTGCTCTGTGTGATTATTCCGCAGTGAGGTGACCAGTTTGTGTGAGTGTCCCGCAGTGAGTACAGTGAGGTGACCTGTCCATGTGAGTTAATGGCAGCAAGGTGAACTGGTCCCTGAGGTTTCTAGGGGATCATTGTTTGATTTTAAACATGTTCCATAAACAGACTGTAATATGTAATAATGATCAAGAGAGCAGCATTGCAGAGGGTAACACCCATGGATGTATTCAAAGAGTCACTAAGTAAACAGGCTTCTTTCAGAAGACCCTTGTCATTACAATTAACCATGGCGGTTTTAGCTTTATGCTCAGACCCTGCTCAGCATAACATCACCAGCTTGGGGGGGGCTCTGTGCATTTATGTAGCCTGTTTTTCGTGCTGGGTTGCCGTTGGCAGTAGCCAGTGGATAGAATTGTCCTCTTAGCTACCAGGTTAGGACTTCTCGTCCCTGCCCTGTGTTTCCTGGGAGAGGCTCCAGACCCATCGTGATCCTGTACTTGATCGGTAGTTTTATCATGGGTGGATTTTTTTATTTATGCCAGTGACAATCCTCAAAACAAGACATCTATATCACAGTGCCAGTCGTCACTTTGTATGCAAAACAGCTTAAAGGTTTGCTAGTGGAGAAGATGGTGGGTGATCAGTAGATGGTGGGTGATCTTTCATGTGAGGTCAGAGACAGACAGACAGTCATGCATTTTTATTGATCCCTGTGGAAATTCACTTTCCTACAGCAGCAGAAGAACAGAAATACAAATACAGCTTGCAAAAGTCAGGACTTTTATACAGACAATAAACGTGGTACAAACAAACAGATATATGTGCATAAATATATAAGCGAGTGGTCTACATGCGTAAATGTAGTGAAATAGTGGTGTTTAAATGCTGTCCTGGCCTGTGTTATGGCTGGGGGTGGGGCAGGTACCTTGGCAGGAGACATTGCAGTACTTGATGGAAGCAGGCAGAAACAATCCCCAGCAGCACTTATTGTAATACGCTGGTGGGATGTGCCAATAGCTAAAGGCAGATGGACAGAATTGTTCACAATGTTCTTGAACAATGTCATGACTGTGCATGGTGTGGGGGCTGAGGCCTTTCAAGACCAAGTGCACTGTGGGGGGTGTGACCTGTCATGACCATGCACAGTGTGGGGGATATGGCCTGACATGATAATGTGCGGTGTGGCGGGTGTCGTCTGTCACGACCGTGAGCGGTGTGTGGGCTGTGGTCTGTCACGAACATGAGCGATGTGTGGGCTGTGGTCTGTCACGACCAGGAGCGGTGTGTGGGCTGTGGTCTGTCACGACCATGAGCGGTGTGTGGGCTGTGGTCTGTCACGACCATGAACGGTGTGTGGGCTGTGGTCTGTCACTACCATGAGCGGTGTGTGGGCTGTGGCCTGTCACGACCATGAGCGGTGTGTGGGCTGTGGTCTGTCACGACCATGAGCGGTGTGTGGGCTGTGGTCTGTCTCGATCGAGTGCGGTGTGGTGGATGTGGCCTGTCACGACCATGAGTGGTGTGGAGGGGCACACTGCCTGGCTCATAGCTGCCAACCTGCTGCTTCCAGGTGTCAGCTGGGTTTCTTGTAAGTTTTCACAGGTGCCTCTTCTGAATTTCACTAAATATAGTCCCGTTTCACGGTACAGTTATTTATAAAATTCAGTATGAGTATATCTGTAAATACATATGTATGTGAGGTGACAACTGACATAAATATATGTGTTTGTGTTAAGGACAGAGCGACAGGTAGCCTGCGTTTCAGTGTGTGCTTGAGCACAGGGACCGAAGCTAATATTACTGCCATCGCAACATGGCCACATAAACAGTCCCCACGCTTGAGTATTGCTGCTCTCTGAGGACTGAATTTCACAGTATGAGCACAAATTCAGTTTAAGAAGAAGAAAACACTAAATACATCAGAGATGGGCTGGTACTGGGAGGAAGAGTAAGAGGATGGGAGGATGAGAAAGGGGGTGTGAGGAGGAGTAAGGAAGAGAGTGGAAGAGTAGGTGAGAAGGAAAGCAATGTCGAGTGAGCGTATGGATGTGCAAGGGGGAGTCAAAGTGCAGCGAGGAAAAGTGAGAAGGTGTGAGGACGAGTAAGGAAGAGTGAAGAAGAGTAAGGAGGTATTCAAACTAGTGATGCACCGATCCAGACCTATTTGTCGGATCGGGTATCGGCCATGCGTGACCGATCCACATCCTATACTTACTTAGTTTTTGACAATCTCTAGAAAGATAGCTCCTACAGTATTTCGTGTTAAATCTATTTGAACAATCAATCGCACGACAGCTCTTTCCCATTTTACATGTGTTTTTTTGCGGCATACAAATCGAACGCTATCGCTGCCCCTCAGTCTTTTTTGCTACTCAGTGGGCGTGAGTACAGTGACTTCCGCCTGCTGTGATGTCACGCGCATACCCTTCGCAGTACGAGGAGCGTAAGATAAAAGACGTGACGATTTTATGCTTTTAACAGAAACCAGTAGCATAGCGATTTGCAGTCTTTGTAAAATAAAGTTTTGAGAGGTGGGAATAGCGTTTAATGGACAATACCATTTAACAAAGCGCACGCAACTGTGCGAGACAAAAAAAAAAGCAATGGATGATTTGGGAGTCGCTAACTATGACTGTCTTGCGAACTCGCTGCAGCTTGTGATACACGAGGGGCTGCCATCGCAACAAAGTGTAACTGAGCTGACACCAATGGGAGAAAAATTGTGTTAAAATTTTATGCATTCGCCACTTGTGTATACTAGCTTTGAAGATATTCATACTGAACTGCAAATGCCTCAAAAACGCTTAAAACTAGACGTACAAACGAGGTGGAACAGTACGTTATGTATGTTTGTAGCCTAATTAAATTTTTTTGTCATTTTTTCCATCTGTATTTACTAGCTTAAAAAATTAATATATAAAGTATAACAAAGTAAAAAGCTTTTCTGTCGGAATCTGTATCGGTATCGGCAGTTGTGGATTGGAGTCGGATTGGAACTGAAAAAATGTGGATCGGCCCATCCCTAATTCAAATGTATGAGGAGCTGTCACTCACTCAGTGTTCTGCTCCTTTTACCCAGGTCCCTGTGAGGAGGCCATGGACGGCAGGTGTGGAGAGCGACCTCGGCCTGGGAGCCAGGAGCTGAGACCTGTCCCAGTAGGTGACCCACAGTGGCTCTTCTCAGTCTAGCCTGTGCTGTCCTTTGCCTCAGCAAAAGCATTGTTTTTTCAACGGCTTTGTGTGTGTGTGTGTGTGTGTGTGTGTGTGTGTGTGTGTCCCTCCCTCCTCCCTGACACAGGGGGCCATGCTGTCTCAGTGGAGGGAGCGATTTCGCAGCCAGGCTCGAGTGCGCTGCCCTCGCCCCGGCTGCTGTCTCGACTTTCCCAGCCTCTATGGCCTCAAGTACCACTACCAGCGCTGTCAGGGGGTAAGCGCTACCCCCGGGGCCGGCTAAGGCTGCGAGGGGGTAAGGGCTGGGGCTGGGGCTGGGGCTGGGGCCAGCTGGAGCTAACAGAGGGTAAGGGCCGTGGCTCGGGTCAGAGTGCTGCCAAGGAGTAAGGGCTGCGGCCAGGGCAGGAGAGTGCTGCCGGGGATAAGGGCCCCGGCCAGTGCTGCCGGGGGTAAGGGCCCCGGCCAGTGCTGCCGGGGGTAAGGGCCCCGGCCAGTGCTGCCGGGGGTAAGGGCCCCGGCCAGTGCTGCCGGGGGTAAGGGCCCACGCTGCCAAGGGGTAAGAGCTGAAGCGAGAGTCGGAGAGCCATGTTCGGCACGAGGTGCTCACGTTCATGTGTGCTGTGCCGCAGGTGCCGCCAGCAGAGCGCCAGAGTCACCACTGCCCACACTGCAAGGGCGTCTTCTCCACGGAGGCTCGCCTGAGGAAGCACCTGGCCTGGAGCCACCCTGGCTGGGCCCTCCGCGCACCAGCACGGCTCAGGTTCGGGGCACCAGAGCTTTCACCCACCAGGAAAACCAGTGGGAAAAGGTACCAGAATTCCATCTGCTGTGGCACAGCAGTAGGGCAGCTAACAGACTGGGGCTTTAGTATGAGCAGGTGTTTCCTTCTTGAGAACTGCCATTTATAATGATAAGGAATGGAACATCCATAGGTTCACCTTCGTAACATCCGAGGAGAGGCTCATCGCTGCTGTACCATTGAATGGGCTGTCTGCCTTTACTCCCTAAGTATAATGAGGCAGGGTTAATTTAATTACCTTCCCCACCACAGGCCCACAAAATCCCCAAACCCCATCCCTGGGGTCCCGAAGGTTTTGAAGGCCCAGCACACAGCCCACCCAGCCCAGAATGGCGAGAGAGTGCCCCAGACCCAGCCGAGCAGCAGCAGCTCTTCTGACAGCTCGTCCTGGACCTCTGCCAGCAGTGGGAGCGAGAGTGACAGTCCCTCCCCGCTTCTGCAGGAGGCAGAGGAGCATGAGGAGGCAGAGGAGGAGGAGAAGGATCTGGAGAGATCGAGGCATAGTAAGAGCACAGTCCCAGGAGCGGAAAGGGGAGGAGACCACAGCCTTGGGTCGTACACGGTTTAGGTCACAGAGGCTCAGAGCTGACGTTAAACACACTCTCAGTGCTTACCACCAGGGCGGCACTGTGGTCACAGTAAACAGGGTTAGGCTTACAAGGGCGACCCCACAGCAGTGGGCTGACACACATGAAGTGACTGGCTGCCGTGCAGCTGAGCGGGCCTCCCCTATGGCCAGGCACACAGAGTGGGTGGGTTGTGGGGGGCCGTCTGCATCTGGACGCCATCTGAGACACTCATTGTCCTGCATCTTCTTTGCTTTTTGTCTTCTACTTGAGCCAGGAAGGAAACAAAAAACTCCCAAGAAGTTCACTGGGGATCAGCCGTCCATATCTGGCACCTTTGGCCTGAAAGGTGATCCGTCTTCAAATGTCCCCATAATATGATTAAAAACCTGTTGTTTTGTCCGTGTTTTCAGTCTGCACCGCAGGAAACTTAATTTAATAACAATCTCTGAATCTGTGCTATCAAAAAACTAAAAATGCCGAAGTGTTCGGTTACTTATGGTTAAGGTTAGGGCTTGGTAGGGGTTATGGTTGACATTGTTGGGACTAGGGTTTTTCCCCAAAGAATTGAATGGAAAGTCACAACAATGATAGGAATATCTTAACTTTGTGTGTGTCTGTGTGTGTTTTCGTGTGTTTAAATGCAGGGCTGACCCAGTCGGAGGACAGACCGAAGGGCCGGGGGGCAGGAGCTGACTGGAACGGCTTCACCCAAGGCTGCATGAGGAAGACCCCCCCCGCCTCCCACCCTGGTAAGCTAGCCCATAGACAGGGGCAGACCTGCATTTCTACGGCAGTGCCACGTCCCCTTGGGTCATAGCGTCCCTCCTCAGGGGAGCAGAGTTCCCGTCCCGCGACCTGCTCATTGCACACAAGCTTCCTTTAGCACAGAGACCTCTGTACCTGAGCCACACAGCTGTGCTAGAGGCGGTCAGTGTCTCACAGGATGCTCAACGAGAGTGTGGTTTAAATAGTCTCACGTCTGAAATAACTGCACAGAAAATGGTTTCCTCTCTGCACCAACAGTGCTCCAGTTATACTAACCTGGGACTGTTAACGAAAAACCTGCATCGTGGGCGCAGGAATGGGTGAGCCTGTGCTGACCTCAGATAAATACCTGACCCATTCGTTGTCCTTTTGTTACTTTTAAGCGATAATGTAATTAATTGTAATTTCAGACTTCCGGTAAGGTGACTCATACCTAGGTAATCTCAAGTGATGCGGCTTGCGTTTTCTTAGTGTTGTAGCCCTTTCCTCCTGGTATTCCGAGCTTCCCCAGCAGTAAAAAGGCATGTAGTTATGCTAACTGGCATTTCCACATTGCCCAGAGTGTGTTGCTGTGTGTGTACACACACTGTCATCCCATCCAGGGTGTCCCCTCCCTTTTGCCCTGTGCTGCCCGGGATAAACCGCAGCCCCCCTGAGACCCTGACCAGGATAAGTGGTTGGTAGATGGATGTATTTCCTATTTTGGCTTCACTGGCTATGGCCTGTTCCTCATTTACTGTCTTTTTCCAGTCAGTTACTGTGATCCTCAACAGGCAGCTCAGCAGGCAGGAAACCAACTGAGAATTAAGTGCATTTTTCACTCCGGGTGAAGAGCTCAGTAACCCAACACCACTCCTGCCTTTTGCATGAAGCTGTGATGCAGCCAGGCATGTTCAAACCTCCATAGGCCAGCTGGGGAAGCTCTCTGAAACATCCTTCAATGTTCATGCACACTTAACTTTAAACTTCTCGTACATTCCGGCAGAAGTCCTCCCAAATAGTTCTCCTGTGGGTGTAGGGATCATACCCAGACTGTCCCTGGTTTTCTGGGGCAGCTTGTTCTTGTGTGGAAGGTGCACTCTGATGGGGCGAATGCCCCAGAAACAAGCAGGCTGTTATATCTGGGAGTTGAGCCCACCTGGATAATAGTGTCTATTGATTGACGGTCAATGGTCGCTGCAGTTGCCTAACTGGTCATCTACCCCACAGAGCATCCTGATGGCCGGGGGTGGCCCACCTTGATCGAACGGTCCAGGGGTCCCGTCAGGAGGCCCTTACCAGCCCTCCCGAGACGCACAGAGGTCTGCCAGAAGGTAACCACTCCCTCATGCTACCAGTGCTGGCTGTCTGACAGTACACACATAGTCACATCAGCATTGCATGACCATTGTTGTGTAGCAAAGCCACAGACGACTAATTATCTTATTGGTAGCAAGAAAAATGATGCTGCATCGTTCCTGATCACATCTTTTCTCTGTGCCTAAGATCCACTCAAGCCTAACATTGTTATGCACCGCTATTAACCTTGTCATGCTCTTAAAGTATTCCACTGAAGTGCTACATGATCATTTTAGCTCAGTTTTTACCCATTTAGATATTATCCACTTGAAGCACTTGATGTTACTGTCTAGTAACTTAACCACTATGCCATCTATTGGTTATTACATTATTACCCAATTATTGCATATTGCACTGCTTGGAAACCTCAGAAACTACAGTACAGTCCTTCCCCTAGGGACACCCCCATGTGGTGGGGCTTTAACCCCTACCTCTCCCGCAGCTCCAGGATGCTCTCAGTTGTTCTCAGTGCCGGAGGCAGTTTTGTTCCAGGGCTGGGCTGGAGTTCCATACCGCCGTGGAGCACAGTGACAAGGTAACTAGCCAGCAGTTGTGTGAGATCCATTTTAAATGTAACATTTATTTAGGAGGTGGATTTTGTCCACAGCAACAAACAGTAAGGTACATAATACTTCAAAAGTATTGTAATAGTAATACAACAGAAGTGTCATTCAAATCAGCACATCATGAAGGTTAGGTTCCTAAATGCAAAATAGAAGAGCATCCATTTTTGTCAAGGAAGCACAACCAGTGAATGGACAATGCAGATGAGGCAGGTCAGTGGTTAGATGAGTTGTTCCCAGAAAGGTTTCCTTGAAAGCTAAGAGGGAGACTGCTGACCAGATTTGGATGAGTAGCTCATTCTACCATTGATGAACCACTTATTTTCACATGGTGGAGGGATCACCAAGTGTCATTCGCCTACTGACAGAAGAAGGTTAGACAGGATGTCACTACAGCACACAAGAAAAGAAAGAAAAGACTTGTGTACTCAGCCAGAGCCAGAGGGTGTCTTCAAGAAGAGAAAGATGATTAGACTGATCAGACCTTGGCCAGAACCAGAGGGTGTCTTGAAGAAGAGAAAAACGATAAGACTGATCGGTACTCAGCCAGAACCAGAGGGTGTGTTCAAGAAGAGAAAGATGATACGATGGTACTCAGCCAGAACCAGAGCATGATTTGTTTCCTGCCATTTCCGCTGAGCCATCCTGGGCTTTGTTCATAAATCCCTGGAGAGCCAGGTGTGAGGGTAACGAGCGTGCCGGCCAGCAGGAGGTAGGACTGAGCGTGTCAAGGTATGAGGTTACGGTAGATCCGAATACATGAATGACATCTTGTGCTTCAAGAACTGGTCCAGGGAGGGAAGAGCTGAGGAGACCAAGACAGAGAAGTAAGTAGGGAAGAGGAATCAAAGGTTATGGTAGAAGGGGATGCAAGGAAGGGGTGACAGATAGAACAGAGAGAGGGTGAATTGAATAAAGTAGTGATCAGAGACATGTGAAGGGGTGACAAGTCAGTTGTCTGTGGTTCAGTAATGTCATGATGCGGTCTAGTTTATTTCTGGCCAAGTGAGTCAGTGGAGTAGAGAACTGGCTGGAGAGGTTAATAAGGTCATGAGCATAAGGAATCAGCAACTTGTGGTGTATCAAAATGGATGTTGAGGTCACCAAGGATGACCAGTTGATGGCCTGTGGTCCAGTGATGTGTCAGGCTGAGGTCCAGTTCATTTCTGATCCACTGAGTCAGTGCAGTACAGAACTGGCTCAAGCCAGATTATGTCAGGAGGGTGTGGAAGTCGGCAGCCTGTGGTCTACCACGATGTATGTCGATGAAGTTAGCAATAGTGAATAGTGGTGAACCAGCATCATATCAGATAAAACTTTGTTTATCCAGAGGGAAATTGTTGTGCCAAAGCATTGCTCTCACTGTGCTGAAATATACCAAGAATAAAGAGTACTATGCAATAGAAGAATACAGTTCTTCGACAATGTTGCCTAGTGTGCCTGCTTGATGATGAATGATAACAATTTACCATTCAGCAGTTAGTGATAGTTATTGCGTGGTACTTAAATGCCGAGAGAAAGTAGGTGTGAAAGTCCCAGCTCTTAGAGATTACCAAACCTCTCTACCCTTCCCCACCAAGTCCAGTTGAGAATGTTGGAAAAGAAGTTGTTGGTGAACAGAGTATCTAGAGTTCAGGATTCTGAGACAGTCAGGATGTGGGATTATTAGTGAATGGCGAGTGCAAAGAAGATGTCAGCTCTGTTGGCTGCAGACTGACTGTTCCAAATTCCCACGGTGAAGGAGGTGACAAAGGATTTCAGAACCAGGCATAGATTGTCAAGATTGTAATTCCTCCTGAGAATAAAGCCAGAGCAGCATTTGGAGTGGACAGCAGGAACATAATGGAAGCACAGTGAAGGGGATAGATGGGAAAGAAGCCACTTAGCTTCTCACAGAAACATAAAGGGAAGGGTGTAGAGTCAGCTAGAAACAAAAGCCAAGCTCAGCTTGCCGCAAATTCCTCAACCAAAACTCCTAAGTTCCTTGACTGACTTTCATAAATTAGTGCCAAATGGGGAAGCCAACTGCTTATCTGTCCTTTTGGATGTTAAGGTGTGTAGATGCTGCCCCGGTCAGGCACTTGGTCACCAGAACTCTTTCTAAGTCACTTCTCAGATCACTCTGCCTTTTTTGTTAATCAAGTCCAAAGTAATGCTTCTTGCTGTCGGTGTGTTTTATCAACTTCTTGACCTTCAGCATCACTGCCCTTGCTAACCACTGATCTGTCTGATTTTAGGTAATATGTTCAACAGTCTGATATAATTTAATGTGTCTGTTATTCCATGATAGCATTTTTATAAGTGTTTGGTGCAGAGCTCATCAAATGTCATCCATCTCCATCACCAGAATCGATGTGGCAGAGAAGTAGAGGAGGTCAAGGTGCCGGTCTTCCAGTGCCAGCACTGTGGCAAAAACTATAGGTCCAAAGCCGGCCGAGATTACCACCTGCGATCAGCACATGCCACTGCGACCACTAGTGCTGCCATGGTGAGCAAGCCTTAGGCCATATTCTCACCCCTGTTTATCTGTGGCAAGGCTGGAGAAGGGGTTTCTGGGAAAGAAGGGACTCTATATTGAGCAGCCAAGGAAATGGCCAGATAAAATAGAGTCTCCTGGATACCAGCATATCCAATACTGTGACTATGTTTGCTTAAGTAAGTGACGCCAGTTCTCTATCTGTAGTTGTAAATCCTGGAAAGGGAGGAAGGATTTATTATAGATGTTTGACCTTCTAGGTATAGACTTGACTGGACAGTCATTGTGCAAAATTTGGTTTTATCAAATGCATTTTAGAAGCAGGGATGTTTTGTTTATGCTTGTTTATCGACTGTGTAGTTTGTAATGCATATTCATGGCCTACAGAGCTGTGACTGTTTTTCTTGCTTCCCCCCACCCTGTTTGTGCCTTGGACTCGGTCCATGGTTCTGCTGGCTCCCCCAACTCTGCCGAGCAGGGCCCGAAGAGGCAGCAGCCGAACGAGGGCCGCGAAAAAGGGGAGAACCTGGATGATGGGGGGAGTGAGAAGGAGGAGCAGATGGAGGAGGAAGTCGAGGAGGAAGAGCATCGAGATGACAGCAGTACGGAGGAAGAGGAACAGCAAGAGCCGGGAGACACCAAGAGGGAGGGTCGGTGCGAACGCATGCCGACTGAGGAAGAGGAGCAGGCGACAAGACTCATGTCAACAGAGGAAGAGGGGCAGCCCGAGCATGTGCTGACCATGGAAGAGGGGCGGCCGGAGGTGACGGAGGAGGACTTTGGGAGGACACCCAGTGGAAGGGTGCGGCGACGATCCGCCCAGGTGGCCGTGTTCCACCTGCAGGAAATTGCAGAAGATGAGCTGGCCAGTGACTGGGGAGGACGACGGCATCGGAGGGATGACCTCGTCCCCGACAGCAGGAAGGTGAGACCCCTGCACACTCGTGCACAAACACATACAGCCACACACGTAGACACTAATGCACAAACATGCAGACACTCATGCACGAACACATACAGGCACACACGCTTATGCACAAACACATACAGACATATACAGACCCACAAGCACATATACACTCATGCACTAACACATGAGGGCACACGCTCACACACAAACATATAAAAGTACACACACACTCATGCACCGACACATACAAGCACATGCAAATCCTCAAGCATCAACAGAATCAGGCACCCATGCGCATATACTCACACAACAAACATACAGGAACTCATGCACAAACACATAAAGGCAAACAGGCACAACCATGTACAGACACACATGCGCACACTCACGCAGAAACACACACAGGCACACACATGCAAACACACACATACATTCACGCAGAAAAACACACAGGCATACCTGCACACGCATGAACGCACACACAAAGACACCCACACACTCCTACCCTGGTGGGACGTGAGTCTGTCCTGAGAGGGGACCATAAAGTCCCATGTGTGGCGTCTGTCCCAGCTCAACTACACCCGTCCACGACCTCTGACCCTCAGCCCCGGGACGGTGGAAAGGTGGAGGATGGAGCTGAAAGAGAAGGGCTTCATCTGCTGTCCTAACACCGTAAGACGACTCCTTTTTTCATCCGTACACTGTGGCCTTGAGCCCTCACCTGCCCACATGCTTCAGCACAGACCGTCCCCTGCTGCTGCACTCTGCTGTTTGCCTTGCAGGGCTGCGAGGCCGTCTACACGAGTGCGGCCGGCCTGAAGGCCCACTTGGCAGGCTGCGAGAAGGTACTCCGGCACGGGCCGTCTGACCTATGAACGTGTGGGGCTGTGTGTGGCTAACGGAGGCTGTGCTTCCTACGTCTGGCAGGGAGGTGGCTCCGCAGGGAAGTACACCTGCTTGCTGTGCCAGAAGGAGTTCGGTTCAGAGAGCGGCGTAAAGTACCACATTGGGAAGACGCACTCTCAGGTAAGGCCTGGCTGCTAAGATTCAGGGAAGACCCAGATTTTCAAAGCCCGGCTCTCAAATAAAGACTAATAAGTGGACCAATTCTCAGGTGAGATGGTGTAAAACAGCTCCGTGCAGCTGCATGGCTCTAAGTGAGACCAGCAGTGGTCCGCTCTCCTTGGTGGTAGATCCCACTTTCACCACTGGCTTTTTCTTTGCCTCCAAACTATTGCCTGGGAGCAGAACTGGTTCCGCAGCACTAACCACCCAGGCCCCAGCAGCGGGAGCAAAGGTTCACAGAATGGCCTGAAGGGGGCGTCGGAGAGCAGCGCAACAGTGAAGAAGAGGGGCCGCAAGCCCAAGGAACGACCACCAGATGGCAGTGACGAGTCGGAAGCTGGGGCCTGCTCGGTCAGAGACTGAAACGTTCTGATACCCTGGCTGTTACAAGCTGCGTCAGCAGAGCTTCAGCAGAGAGTGTCAGCTTTGTCCAAAACAGACCTGCAGAGAGGAGGGGGGCTCCTATCCCCCAATGACTCGTACAACAGCAGGCGTATAGACAGTGAGCATTACAAGCTATTTTCACTCGAACTTTAAAATATCAGGTAAAGATACCAGGTTTTCCCCAGAAGTTGATAGATTTTTTTTTTCTTTTTTTACTTTTTATTGCCAACAAAGTAATTACATTGGGCATGGGGGTGTTGTGGGTGCGTGAAAAAAAGTATATTTTAAGCCCATAGTATTTCTGAGGGCCAGCTATCTGTGCTGTGTTAACTTCACTTTGTGACTGTAATGGTAAGCTAGGCCCTGCTTGCTAAGCTGGCGGTGCTGTTTCAGCCCTGGCCACTGGGGGCGCCGGTCTAAAAGGTTGCTTTTTTTGTCCTTTTGCTGAAATTCAAAATGACTAGTGTCAGCTGAACTTTGCTGTAGATATATAAACTGACCGTATACCCGTAGGTCTGTAGACCGTGTATATGTCTATATAGGCAGATGTGTGAGACCCCCAGATTCCAATTCTATTTTTAAGCGATTCAGTTCTTAAGTTGTTAGCATCATTGCAGTTTATGCAATGTAAGTAATAATCAGATGTGTCGTTTTACGTTGTGTTTTAGAGGTTTTTCAATCTAAATGCTGTTCTCTTTGCACAGAGTACTAAACTATTACTTGTGATAATCAGATTTGTATTGACATATGCGTAGCATTCTAAGCTGTTGGTATTTTTTCCTGTCATTTGTTGGAGGTTAAGACTGGGATGTTCTTAATGGATGGCAGTTATTTTGGATCATTGTGTCCAGAGATTGTTTAGCACAGAGGGCAGCAGTGCAATATTTCCACAGGAGCTGGGTACAGTGTGGCTGCCAGCGTTCAGCAGAATGTCCTTCTGTGGCTTTATTGTCTGATTACTATTTTTTGTTGGTTTTCATTTCTGCTTTGGTGCAGAAAACGCACAGTGTTGGAAGTGCCTGATCGGGAGACGCTGAATTGCTTTGGGCTGAGATCATGATGGGGATGGGACTCCGTTGTTCTGCACTCCCTCATCTGTTGTGGTGGGGGCTTTTGTTGGGGGGTCAGCCCCGGTACCGGTAAACACATATTCGGATAGAACAGTTCAGTCGTTTCCGGTTTTTTCCAATGACTCCAGATGGGTCACGCTCGCCGACATCATATCACACGGTGGCGAGTGCTTGATGTCATCTTGGAGAAGCTGATAAAGCACTAAGTTTTGGAATTAGAATTTTGGACCCACACTGTACTGTGTAAGAAATGCTGCCCTAGCATTTGGAAAGTAGAAATGCAAAATATTCAACACTAGCCGAAACATACACGCACACAAATTACATTAATCATGCATGCTCTCTGAGTCCCCAAAAATGGTTCTTAAATAAGTACCAAGAGTGATGTCAGTGTGGCATGAAGAGATGTGGTTCTTGCACTTTAAAATACCCCCTCTTCTTCCATGCATTTTTGCAGATTCCTTAACTGCTATAGGGCATCAGAACAGGACTGGTATCTGTCATAGTGTTAACAGAAAGGCATCTAATAGAACGAGCGAATGACAGATTTTTAACAAGTTGGACCTGTTTCAGCATGAGCTTCCAGGTAGCTGCTTTAGGCAGCTGCTGTTTTAATGTTCTCATCATTTGACCCTCCACTCGAAACACCTTGCACATTAAGAGCGTACTTAGTAGCCCTGTTGTATTTATTCTGATCATCGTAGTTAGAGATCTGATAATCCATGAGGTCCTGAGGGCAGGAACAGCAGATACGATGCACTCGCTCGGATGCGTAGCAGTTTATTTCCAAATCGCAAAGCAATACTCAGAGTCTAAGTCCGGTATAGGGGTTTTGTCGGAGATCCAGAATCATAATCATACAATATATGCAAGAGTCGTGCACAGAGTAACCAAGAAGTAAAAGCAGTGCTTAAACCACAACTCAGAGATGAGACTTTGCATTCTAGCTTAGGTTATAAGGGTACCCTGGGTTGTGTTACAGCACAGGTACAAACCATGAGAGATATGGTACATCTCTTTCAGTATTTGGGAAAAGGTGATTGTTGACAATTCTTTGTCCGTGAATGAGAAGTTTCTGAGGATGTGATCGAACCCCCTCAATGGGAAGCTGCCGATTTCAGAAGATTCAGTTAAATTCAATTAAATTTTATTTGTATAATGCACTTTCACGACATTACATTGTTTCACAGCGCTGTTATTCCTGCCCAGTGCCACCAGAGACCAAGCCAGAGGCAGCAGTGGCAAGGAAAAACTCCCTAGAAGGAAGAAGCCTTGGGTAGAACCAGACTGAAAGGGGGGAGCCCATCCTCCTTGGGCCATCAGAGGAAGTCAAATTTAAAAAGTCCCGATTTATACACTGCAGACTATTGAAATCGGGGTGTAAATGCGGAAGATCCAGTGAAGTTATGGATGCTGATGTCAGGGCAGGCAGGTAATGGCAGGATGAGCGGTGCTGGAGGCCAGGCAGGAAATACATCACAGGCAGGACGGAAGTATGTCTCAGGAAGACGGGGTGTCACCGGCAGCAGGGCAGGGGGGATGTCTTGATTTTTGGGTCTCCAGGCAGCACACCTGAGAACGGATGGGGGAAAAACAAAGTACAGTAGCCAAAGTAGAGGAGACTAGAGAAAAATAGTGCAACCAGTTAGGTGAGTGCAATATGTAAGCTCCGGCAGATGTGGCTATGGCGGCGTAAGTGAGGGAGCGGCAGGTGGGAACGCAGGCATGGGGAGTCCCTGAAATGTCAGCACTCCCGATTCCACAAAGGGGTGTGAAGCTAGAGTGACAGACTGACAGTTCAGTTCATCCAAAGCCAATGGTACTGATTCCCACCCAGCTCTACACCTCACACTGTAGGTTTAACTGGGAGTGAGCAGTTAGCTAGGGTCCCTATAAGCTAGACTAAACAAGTTTTTAGTCTAGAATTGAATATTGAGAGTGAGCCTGAATCTTGCACATCCACTGGGAAACTATCCCACAGCTGCAGAGCACTATAAGAGAAGACCCTGCAGCCTGCCATAGCACTTTCTGCTCTATGTACTAATAGATATCCTGCTTCTTGAGATCGAAGCAGGTGAGGAGGGTTGTAAGAGCCCAGTAGATATCGAAGATATTCTGGCACAAGGCCACTCAGTGCATTATAAGTTCATAGCAGTATTTTGTAATTAATCTGACATTTAACTGGAAGAATACTGTCTGCACCTGGGCCACCCATGAGAATGAGGGACCAGGCAGTCTGGGTGGGCACAATGGACATTCTTAATGGAGTGATCCATAATGTCCTCTGCCAGAACCCAAGAATTCCCTTCGGTTATTGGCCTATCCAGTCCACCACGTGGAAATGCTGGTAGTCCAAAAGCACTTGGACAGGATATGCAGGACCTTCATCCAGAATTACAGGTGGTGGAACCTGGGGGTTAGGAATCTGTGTCTGTCTGGAAGGTTATGGGCTCAAATCCCATGGCTGGCAAAGTAATCCTATCACCATTGGGCCCATGAGCAAGGCTTTTAACCCCATTTGCTACCGGAACCCTGGCTGACCTTACTGACACTCTGCTAATGTCCCTTTCATGTCACTTGTATGTCGCTTTGGAAAAAGCATCCGATAAATGTGTAGAAGAGGAATGTGGTACCTTAGAAAACTAATCACAGTCACCGGAATGACTGTTGAATCATGTCAGCTGGAAAGATCTGTAACAACGATGCGTGACCAGAGCTGGTTGGGCACAGCCAAGGGTTCAGGGGGGCCTGGGGGCAGCTGACGACCACAGTCAGGACAGTCTTTACAAGCTGAGGTAGATCTTGATACAGCGACGGATTCAGAACTTGCTCTTGGTAAGTGACGACATATGCAAGATACCTGGGTGTCCAGAGTTGTAGTAGAGGAAGCTGTACTGCTGGGCTGTAAGTGCGTGTTTGTGGTATTTGATTCATTAATTCCCACCATTTTGAAGCTACCTGTACAATGCATGTGATGGGAATATAGTGTCTGGAGTGTCGTGAGCCTATGAAGAGTCATTGAGGGGAGATGATGCATCAGCCTTTGCGTTCATAGATCCTTGCTTATAAAGAAGGATAAACCAAAAAATAACTGACTAACAGGGACCAGCATGCCTGACTAGGGTTCCAGCTCTTAGATGTTCCAAAGTGTTCTATATTTTAATGATTGGTAAAGATGAGGAAAGAACGTTGCGTCTTCCAGCCAATGTCTCAGCCCTTTGAAGGCCACCTACAGCTGACCGTTCCCGATTCCTAATATCTTAACTCCTTTCTACTAGCTTTCTGGAGAAGAAGATACATGTATATAATTTAGGCAGTTCACGTTGTCTTCTGAAAAGAACGGTCTGAGGCATCCACCTCTACAGTAAAAGGCACGGAAGGGTCTGGATGTAATAGAAGTAGTGGCATGTCAGATGTTCACTTCCCCAGAACTAAGGTTTGCTTCTCCATTGGTTGTACATGGATCCATATTGGAGCAAAAGTCCTAAATGGCTGTAGAAATTTGTGATTCCCAAAAACCTCTTAATTCTCTTTATTATAAATGGTATAGGCTAGGTGATCCCAATTTCTGGATGTCTGCAGGCCAGCTTACATTATACACAATTTGCTGAGCAGTGGGGTCATTCATGATAGCATTTGTATAACATTTTCATGTATCATGGTTTTATTTTTTTTCCAATACAGGATGATCCCATAACAAATGGGGTGGGTGGCAGGAAGCCCAATGAAATACTTCTGCTAGCTGGGGGGTCAGTATGGATGAACCTTTCACTGCTTCCCCCTGCTTCCATTTGTACACTTTGAATATTTATCACATATCCAAGGAAGCTGGTTTCTATTGTATGACATTCACATTTCTTACGATCCAAGAGCTTCTGCAAAACGTCCATATGTGTCCTACATGGCTCTTGTAATCTGAGGAGTAGATCAGGATATTGTAAATATCCATAATAAATCCTTCATGTAGAATGTGATTAATGAAGTCTTGATGCCCTTTGCAGGTCCAAAACAGTGAAATATTTAGCTTCCCTTAACTGCTGCAGGAGTCAGAGGTAGAGGGTAGCAAATCTTGAGGTCATTCAGAGTGCTATAGTAAATGGCCATATACCCCCAGTAACAAAAAGCTGGCCATGACAGATGAAGCTGATGGGCAGGTGAGTCCTTGACTCAAAGCTTCCGGTATGTTTTGTTCCATAGCTTTAGCTTTAGGAATTTACAAAGGTTGGATACGAGCCCTAGGGGAAGTGGCTACAGACCTGTGAGCAGTGAAGCCATTAATGTAATCCACAGATAGCGCCCGCAAAGCGACACCTATCTTGGGTCAGCCGTATTTATGTGTTCGGGCTGATGGTGGTGCTGGCTCACCTCTGCCTACCTGGGATCCAGCCGTCTGTGTGCTTGATGTATTACTTCTGTCCTTGACATACTCCACTTTGCGGTCCCATTTTGTTCTTATAAAAAAATAATTGCTTGGTCAATTTTGTGCAATGGCAGAAGGCTGCATGAGAATCGGGACGTGGTTTTTACATTGAAATAGTTTTCCGAAGCCTTTCAGGAATCAAGGTAAAGTCTGGGCTCGACCCCAGAGCCAAGCAGCACAAGGAGGGTCAGGCACTGGTGCGTTTACGTAACGTTTGCTCACCTTGTGCATCCAGCTTTGTTTCCAGCTAACTTGCATGTTTATTTGTTTTAACAAAAATAATTTGTCTTTTGAGTGGATTGCAGATTATGTACTAAATTGATTCTACGATGCTTTTTCATACCCACAGCATCTTTAATACTTTACTACCGATGGTCTGTTTTTAACAGGTATCAACTATATATCTGTATTGTTATTTTGCTGGGGTTTTTAACCAAACGCTGCATTTTTTTGTAACAATGTCATGTGGTGTGCTGTTTCTGTGAGAGAACAGATGTGCATAGTGTACATGTAGTCCATCCAAGTACTCAGCAGAAATGGCCTGACAGCCTCGCAGCCTGTCGAATGTATACTTCCTGTTAAAATAAGCTCAATCCTTCCGAGAACCAGTGAGATGCTGCGTCTTTCGTTATAGGTTTTCTTGTCTTCAGTTCTTTTGGTTGATCCTCAAGCCAGCATCCAGCTGAGCAACATCTGAGGCTGGGGACTGGGGTGTTTTCACGGTTCCAAAAGGGTGTTTTGTTTCTGGAGAAGATCTTAAGAAGTACATGCTATAGTCTAAAAAGTTTAATGTGTGAGAAAAATATTCCGTGTGAATTTTGAGTGTAGGAAGTTTACAGGGTCTCACTTTGAAGAGCCCTAAATGTGACTTTCGTAACGCCTTCATAAGCGATGCATCTCGGCTTTGATAAGCGTGACAACAGTGACGTCCTCGGCGAGGTTGCTAAGTAACATGCTTCCCCAAGGGCCCTGTGCGAGACCTCCACCGTGCTCTCATGTGCAACATGTCAGACGCAACACGCAAGCTGTGAAGGTGTTATGAAGGTCTTTTGGTGGGCTCTGGGTGGTGCTGTTTACATTAATAAGCTGAAAGCGTCATTGTGATCTGACTCGCGGCCGACGGCTTGGAAAGGTGAGGGGAGGCACTGTGCCGTGGTTCAAGGTGTACTGTTGAAGTTTGACGTTGCATTACCCATGCAATGTTACCCTTCATACGATGAATAAATGAAGTTGAATAAATGGTGTGGAGCTTTCATTGACCTACCTACACCAGCATTATGTGCATGTTTGAGCACACTAGGAGACGCCTAGCATCTACCCTCCAACCCGCACCTCACCCTTCTGCTGTGACCAGGTGTCAACACCATTCGTCTCCTTTGGCTGCGATTGCGGTTTTCGGGAAGGTTTGACTGATACGCATAATGGTGAGAATGACTCCTGCGAAAATAAGCGAAACCAACAGTGAGGGGGTTTGGAAGATCAGGGGGCTCTGATTGTGGGACCAGCCGATAATCTCAGGGATCAACTGGAGATCTTGGCTGTTAGAGTGTCTCCCACAGGCCTGGGCTCTTCGGCTGGCGTTTGCTGATTGGGCTTCTGGGCCCTGCGACCTGATGCCAGGTAAGTCTGCTCAAACTGTCTGTGCCGTCCTGGGTTACGATGCCAAAAACCTTCCAGGTGAAATACAACGTAAGCAGCTTTTGCAAAGGATTTCTTTAATGTAATTAGAGGAAATGAAAACAGGTACAGGATACAGTAGGTTTATAAAAAAACATCAGAGTGAGGCTCCGAATGGCCACTACTGTTTCGCCTGAGGTACAGGATCCTTCATTATTATCCATCTTGTTCATACAAATGCTTGAGCACGTCGTTTCATCCAGTGATTTAATGCAACAAGAACAGTGCAGAAGATGCAAACCCCAGCGAGGTCATGAGCGTACTTGGATATCATTACACAAAAGGCTGCCATTACAGGATGCTCAGGGGCAGACTGGGAATCCAAGGTCGAGAAAAAGACCCTCAAGGGGCAAAAGAAGCGTGAATAAACACAAGAAAGCAGCTGGAAAAGTGGTGGGGATATGCAAGGGGCTGAATCGGGCACCCTGAGCTGGCCCTCTGTGCGGCAGCGGTATGATACATGAGGTAAAGAAGCTGCAGAATGAGTGGGTGATGTCACCTTAAAGAGTGTGTGGGGTTGCACGGACAATACGTGGGACACAGATACAGAGAATCCTCCCGTCTTAATCACTGGCTACTAAGGGAGAATGCTAGTCATTGCTTAAAATCCTGAGGGGATAGATCGGGTGAAACCAGTGCTAGTACAAGAACGCAAGCAGATCAGGACAGGTTTAAACCAGAACATGGAGCATGGTGAGGGCTGAGTCAGCACTGCTTCCATTCTAAGAACATGCAGCTTGTGCAGAGGGCGACCCCGACATCGACCACATGACCTCAAATTTCTCCTGCTGCTTATATACTTTACATCATGCTAAGATGCCCCTCTAACTGGAAGATTTTTCTTCCCTTGGAACCTATGGGGTTTTTCCCGTCTTTCTGCTTCAAAGCCCTCAGTGTTGCTTCCCTGGACTCAGCTTCATTGGACACTGCAGTGGTCCAGCCAGCAGCATCCATGAGTCCCTGGGAAATGACTGAAGTCAAGCTGTTCCATCTCCCGAAACTGACCCTTCAGTGAAATGCATAGCTTAGACTGTGACACTAAGGACATTCTGTGATCAGTTTTGCATTAGATGTTTTCTGAATTTAAAGTGAAAAGAAAAGAAGGAGATGATATATATTCATCAATCTTCCAAGCATATCTCCCAGCAGACACACCGAGAGACCTGGGACTGCTCCAGGAAGTTTCAGGCACAAGGCAGAGGCCATCCTTGAAGGGGTGCCGGTAATATTCACTTGATGCACATGAAAAGTTGTTCTAAGTAATGAAACATGTTCATGTCCCAGGATTGCTGGCCACATTTCACAGACGTCGGCTTTACGGTCTCATTGAAAGTGATACACACGTTGGCTGTATGGTCCCCTTCACATGTGTGTCGGCTTTCCGGTCCCCTTCACAGTGCCACGTGCGTGTCACCTTTCCGGTCCCGTTCACAGTGCCACGTGTGTGTCGCCTTTCCGGTCCCCTTCACAGTACCACGTGTGTGTCGCCTTTCCGGTCCCCTTCACAGTACCACATGTGTGTCACCTTTCCGGTCCCGTTCACAGTGTCGCACGTGTATCGCCTTTCCGGTCCCGTTCACAGTGTCGCACGTGTGTCGCCTTTCCGGTCCCCTTCACAGTGTCGCGGTGTGTCGGCTTTCCGGTCCCGTTCACAGTGTTGCACGTGTGTCGGCTTTCCGGTCCCGTTCACAGTGTCGCACGTGTGTCGGCTTTACGGTCCCGTTCACAGTGTCGCACGTGTGTCGCCTTTCCGGCCCCGTTCACAGTGTCGCGCGTGTGTCGGCTTTCCGGTCCTGTTCACAGTGTCGGCTTTCCGGTCCCGTTCACAATGCTGCACGTGTGTCTGGCAGCCAGCATGTCTGTAGGCAGTTGGAGAAGGTGAGTAGCAGTTCACTCAGTGCTGGGTCACACAATGACAGGAAACAGAACCTGCTTAAGGTGTTGCTCTGGAAAAACGGTGACTCACCCATCCTGACTGAAGCAGGTAAACCTCAGCAAGGCCTCACCTGTAAGAAACATGAGCATAAGTCCAACTCAGTGATTTTATTCCTCTGAATCCTACATATTCTCATTTTCTTTATGTATATTTATTCAAATTGTACAGAATCCAAGGTGAACGTGTTTGTGGTTTGATAAAATCGCTTGTAACAGAACTTAACCATCTAGGGTGCCCTCTTGTGTTCTAAGATGATCTCTCCTTTCGTCTAGTCTACATATCTTCACACTTTACCTAATGTGTGTGCCCCCTCTAGTGGTCTGAAGCTGTAACTGCCAGCAGATCATCGTCATCCCTGTCTGCAGTGGTAGAATGCAATTAGAAGACTCCTGCCCCCCACTGGCTGGGAGTCATGGCTAGGTGCTGCCTTCATGCTCTGTGAGGCCCCCACAGGTTGCTAAGTAATTAGCACCGAGAGATTCACCTCATCTGCTTCAGCTATTCTGCATGATGTCATGTGACCTGTAGCTTTATAAGAGCACAAACTGCTTGCCAGAAAGTGCATCATGGGAGTGGAAACCTGCCACGGAGGCTTCTGGGGAGGATTACTGGGGGGGTTGTGGGTTTGTTACTGGCTAAGACGAGCTTCCGTGCTTATTGTAATGTAATCGCAGGTCCTGCATATTCACAGGCAGGAAAAACGGCCATTCTTTGGTGTCTTGATGTGGTCGGTCTGGCTTCTCACTTTGACTGCCCTGCTCTCACTCTCTTGCTCACTCTCTCTCGCTCTCTGTTGCTCTCTCTCACTCATCAAACTGCCTATTGCTCTCTTCCTTTACAGCTTTCACGTAACATTTTTGCTCTCTTTCTTCAGTAATTTTTGGGTTTGGCTTTACTTGGGTCTTTGTTTGTGTTTTTTTGGCACCATTGGTCCCACATGTCTGAAATGTCATACCTTGAGGTCATGCTTTACCCCTTCGCCTAATAGGACCCTGTACCGGTGTTGCTGGTGAAAAACAGCCTCATGCAGTGCCTTGATGCATGACCGCAGACCTTGGCCCACCTACACGCCACCTACACGCCACCTACACGCCGCCGACACACAGCAGCATGATGGCGTGATGTTTCCTTTCATTGGTGCAGCTCCAGTTGCTCCTTTCAGGAGGGGCCATGGCTTTGCATCCTACTGTGACAGCAGTGTCCATTACGTGCCTGAAGAATGTTCTGCAATGACACTGCAAGACGGCCTTTTATTTCCCTGAGAGACGTCTGCTGCAGTTTTGCCCTGTCAGTGACATTCGCCTGGCCGCAGTGAGAAGTGTCACCTCAGATAGAGACTGGGGGTTTAGCTTCTCTACATGACAGACATCTAACCGAAGTCCCCACTAGCTGAGCTCATCCCCGCAAGCACGTGTGTTGCCTCCATCGCCCTCACACCCATCACAGCTCTAGAGAATGCATAAGAAGCCGAAGCCGAGGCACCAAAGAGGCAGAGCAGACCCCTGCCAGTGAGTCACTCAGGGAGCTGCTCATGGAAAACAATCAGTGCTTGAAGTGGGCCGGAACGCAGCGGAACGCAGTTCCGGAACTTCTGTATTTTCGTCTTTTGGGTTTCCGCCACTTTTTTCTGCGTTCCGGTATTTACTGAAACTGATCCGACGCAGCGGCAGTGGCCCGAGAATAGACAATATCACAAGACCGATAAAAGACTACATTACCCACGAGCCACGACAGTGCCCTATCATATAGCATCCACTGAGTCCCAACCAATCGCATCAGCTTTAGCCCTAGTCTATTGTTAGGCCTACAAGTATCACACTGGTCTGGTTCATGTTGTTTTAATGGTNTGTTTTAATGGTTTTTCAGTATTCCATTTGTGAATTAGAAAAAGTAGCCTATGCCTATAGGTTATTGCTTGGAAGAATGATTAAATTAAAATAGTTTTTGAACCAACACATCCTAAAGACTTGATTTTTTTTTCACCGCACAAATGTCAAATGTCGGAAAATTAGAGTTCCTGCACTTATTTTTTCCCACTTCAAGCACTGAAAACAATACTCTGCGTTCAGGGACTATCAGCAGTTTGAAGTAGAGGCCCGAAGAAGCCTGGGGCCGGAAAGTTTGGTTTGAAGTGGCAACATCACAACTATGTACCTGGAGTTTTGTCCTCTCTGCCAGTGTTTCTCAGTTTTTGCTCCCTCAAAGCTCCCTGCCAGACAGGTGGGGGACAGCAAAAACGTGGACTGTCTGTTGGTCCCCGACCCTAAACCAGATGATGGTGTCTGCAGTCAAGCTGGCCAGCAGAGGTGCAAGTCCCAGTGCCACATGACCTCAGGAACACAACCAAAGGCAACATGGCCTGCAGGAACACAGCCTCAGGAACATAGCCAGCAGGAACACAGCCTCAGGAACATGGCCAGCAGGAACGCGGCCAGCAGGAACGTGGCCAGCAGAATCACAGCCTCAGGAACACAGCCTTGAGAACACGGCCTGCAGGAACACAGCCTCAGGAACATAGCCAGCAGGAACACAGCCTCAGGAACATGGCCAGCAGGAACGCGGCCAGCAGGAACACAGCCTCAAGAACACAGCCTTGAGAACACGGCCAGCAGGAACACAGCCTCAA